CTATCGCTTAGCTAGCTAGAAAACCCACTTTATTTACAAAGCTATTTTCTGAGTTCTATTTACAACTTCAATAGAAAAGGGTAGAGAAGACAAATTGGTTAGGGGGAGAGAGAAAAAAAATCCAACAGCTGCTTAAAACCACAAACATTAGCAAAAAGTAGAAAATTTTGTCTTCACAGTTTATATATAGGTTAAAACATCTAAAGGGGGGAAAAAGGACTGTATCTGGTTGGTTTTTTTTTCCACATTGTCTCTGTAACTGAAAAGGTAGATCAAGAGACTCAATTATGAACCAGCCTGTATAATTTCACATATTTTAACTCAATGTGTCATATATCTCACTGAATTTCCCCAATGTCTGCATTTATTGTTCAGCGAAATGTATTTAACCCAAACCTGTACAACCACCGGCCCACTCCCTGTCCTCGTCCGAATAACTCTTTTAAAATGGTTCGCCACATGCTTTGGACCTGGTTAGACCTTAGATATGAATTTCAAATGGGTAAGATTACCATGGAACCATGACGAGAAGGCACACTTTAGATGCTGTGGCATCCCCATTTGAAGCGCATCGTCTTGCCAGTCTCTGGCGCAACGCACCCCTGGAAGCTCTCTAGGGCAAGGAAGACGAGTAAGGCTGACTTCACACAAGACAATCTCTCCTCTAGGCAAGCCGTTCCTCACCCAAACTTGGGTGCATTCACATCAACAGCTGCAAAGGCAAAGCACTTCCGTCGGCAACCTCACCAAGCAGTTCCTCCGATCAAGCCAAGCCAAGCCGGCTGCTTATATACCGCCCCATAGCGTGTAAAGCTCTCTGGCTCTCTTGAATTTCCAATTCAATGATGCAGGCTATACGCTGCATTGAACTCAGGTTGTGAGCAGAGTCTTCATAGCAATACTGCAGTTTAATCATTGCACAAGAGGTTTCTTCTGCTGTTGCTAACTCTGCGGAATGGGGTGCACTCTGGATGCAGCATCAAAGCCTGCTCTTTCGTCCGGGAATGCTTGTGATGAAGCCGCGGCTCAAGGCTATCTTGGGGGGGGGGGACAGAGAATGTGACATGGGGCTGTGACAGAAAATGGGAGTAAACTCCCCGTGTCCATCATTCTCGATCCTCTGAGGCTGCTGGGATGAGATACCAGCATACAGCCAAGGCTGGGTGGCGATGTAATTTAGTTCTTCAATGTACATCCTTGTCCAGCCGCCAAAGGGTGCCTGAGGAGAACTATGCCCTTGTGTGAACTGGCCTTTAGGTATGCTTCGATCTCACAAAAACCGAAGATAAGCATGCTGACGTTTCTCCCGAGTAGACCCCTGAGCTTGCCTGCACATTCCTATGAAGCTCTCTGATCTTTTACAGTACTATATTATGGCTTGATAATTTTTTTAACTCCAGTAGGCAGTAGGGAAGGATAAATAAAATACTGACACAAGTAAGCATACATAGAAATTAAAAACACACACATCTCAAGGACGATGTCCTCAGAGTGATTAACTCGTAGGCTGTTTTAACAGTCCTGTAGCAATGTTTTGAACCTGAAACCTGGTACAATCAAAATGATGTAGGAATTTGGATAAGTCACTCTTTGGTAAACTCAAACCAGCTCAAACAAGTTTACAGATTAAAGAAGAGCCATCTTTAAAATCATCTTTAAGACTGAGGCAGGGGCAAGAAGCCAAGGAACACAACGCTGATCGACCCTCCCTTCTGTCGTGACTTCATACCACTATGGAGAAAGCCAAGCAGCTGAAAAGGCACTGCAGAACAGCTCCACCAGAAAAGGGTCCAATTTAACTCTGCACTCTGGGGAGGGGGGGCGGTCTCCAAAATGCAAGCAAAATTGTTTCACTACTTCAGCAAAAGTTCAGTAAAACTCACGTCTCTCTTAACGCGTGTTAAAGAACGTAAAACCAACAAGAGATGCAACTTCCCCCCCCTTGGTGCACACTGATGTGCAAGGACCCCCCCCAAAAATCTCCAGTGCATGATGATGGAAGAGTACTGTATCACCAATTCTGCCCTGCCTGTGCCCCTTGTACGCTACATTGCACACCACCCTGGCCAGGTCTCCGAGCCTCCAGGATCGGATCGGAAGAGGAAACAAACAGCTGCATTGGAGACCAGCGGCAGGAAAAGGCTTCCTGCACGCATAGCGCCCTGTGCAAGGATGGGCCTTGGGACCCCGGTCTCTGAGCTTCTAGCAGCGGAAAAGATAACTATCAGAGACTCTTGGAGGAGGCAGAAAGAATCTTAGGCAGTTTTAGGATGAAAAAGGCTGATTGCACACCGAAGTTTAGCTAAACCCCTATCAATCACGAAAAACTACTGCAAATGGAGCAACATGATGGAGTTTCGTCACAGTAACGAAAAGCTCAGTCTATATATACGGCAAACATCTATTTTTCAGGATGACTAGAATCGTCAAGATGTCAAACAAAGCCGTAAGCCTTCCAAAAAAAACACCCCACAAGCGTACATTTTTATAAAACAAAAACAAAAAAACAAAAAAAAACCAAGCGTACATTTTTACCAACGGTTTGGAAAAAGGAAAACTAGGGGACGGGTGGGTTGTTCATTGTACAAGCTGACTGCATCCCAGGAGGTTCGCAAGCTCTTGTTCGCATTAGGTTAATCACCCGTCTGCAGTAGAACCACAGCTGTGTTTTCAGTGTTCAAAAACCCGGAAAACCCCACAAAAAGAGAATGAGGATTTTGACGAAAGCTGAGGACATCCCGCAGAGGAAAAGCGATGTGCTTCCGGGTTAAAATTCACAGTCGCGAGAATCTCAGGGAATCCCACGAGAATTAAAGCAAAGGCTCAGATTCAAAGTGTCGTCGCTTAAACATATATAAATAAACGGGCGAGAGGTCAGCAAAACACCCACACATTCGCACGATCCTCATCGGGCAGAGGTTTCAATGGATTCCCGGGCTCTGTTTCACTCGGCCCTGCTTCCTGCGAGGGAAAAATAAAATCTGCTTGAGTAGGAACAGTGTGGGACTCGGAGGGAGGAATTGGCCTCAATGTCTGACCGAAGACAAGCTGGGGCTCCCCAAGGTTCCACCTCCAACCTAATAAAGCCAAACTAAGAGAATCCGAATCCCCATTCCTGCATCGCTGTCATTTTGATGCCAAACTTCTGCACTGCTCTGTCTGCTCAACCCAGCCAAGAACTCCTGTCCTTGCTACACGAGAGCCAGACTCAGATCATCCACGCTAGGAGCTGAAACTGGACAGGGGCAAGACAGCCAGAACACATCAGAGTACAGTGGTGCCTCACTTAGCGATGTTAATTCGTTCCGAAAAAATCGCTGCTAAGCAATAGATGTTAATAGCGAAAAGAAAAAGCCCATAGAAACGCATTAAAACGCGATTAATGCGTTCCTATGGAGTTAAAACTCACCTTTAAGCGAAGATCCTCCATAGCGCCGCCATTTTCGGTGCCTCTAAAGCAAGGAATCCATGCCTGAAAACAGCGGGCGGCCATTGTGAAACCGCTGATCAGCTGGCCAAAAATGGGGGCTTTGCGATGATCGCTTCCCTGCGATCATCACAAAGCGAAATTCACCCATAGGGACCATTGCAAAGCGATCGCTTTTGCGATCGCAAAAACAGCGTCGCTAAGCGATTTCGCCGTAAAATGGAGCGATCGCTATGTGAGGTACCACTATAGCTTTCTCACCGAGCGAATGCTAGCCCCGCTCAACAGTTCCTATCCCAGCAATCACATTCAACAAGCCTAAATATATCATCTAAGTATATGCTTGAACACAACAAGGGGGGGGGGAGATAAGAAGACAGGAAGTAGAGTTTTTATACAGTAACGTTTGCCAGTTCATGCTTTCTGAGGTCTGGTCCTGGCAAATAAAAGCTTAACTGGAAAGATATGGGATTTTTTCCCCCTACTGCTAAGGTTTCACATTTTCTGTGCTATACTGACCGAAGAGAAAAAAAGTTAGCACCACATTAGAAAAATACCAAATATCCGGAGGAGAGTAAACATGGTTCTGCTTGAAGGTGTTTGTTGGCATTTTAACAACAACAAAATACTGAAAAAACCCACTAAATGATGGAGAAGTCAAAGATACAAAACAAAATGCTTCTGTAATATGATAGGAGATTATTGCTCATAATTCCCATATAGTATCATTACAAAAAGTAAAAACACAAGTGATTCAGCTTCACTGGAAAATGGTAACTAGGAAGTTACGGTGCACCTGAAAAGGAGCTCTCTGGACGAGATCCACTGGAACACTGTCCTGAAATACAGTATTGTAGATTTTGCTATATTCAGAGTGATTAAAGTAAGATTTACCTGGTATGTTTCTACAGTACGATATGAAGGTAGAGATTCTGAGGGTAAATAAAAACATTTTAAACCACAATGCTACTTTTGGGATGGCGCGTATGACAATATGTTCTTCATTAAAAAATAAAAGGGGGGGGGTCAGCACCACACGTTGTCCAGTTTGTCCTAAAGACAAAATGGAAAATAATAATAATAATACTCCGTAAGAGATTCCCCAACTGTAACTTAATATGTTTATGGCATTTGGCTTATGTATGTTACGGAGCAGAAATTATTTCAAAATAAGCTCTGTTCCCTTTGAGACACAAGATCTGAGCACGGAAGAAAAGCAGCAAAACTTCGGGAAACACCCCCACCAACCTAAAAAAGAGGGTTACGAGCTGAAGGCCTTGTAGAAAAGCCTTCTTCCTTCCTCTTTCCACTTAAGGTATTTCTACATTCACCCTCAACCAGAAGAGAAAAAGTGAGCATTTAATATAGGTTTATATATAAT